GTCACTGGGACTCATAACCGTGTTAAGATCAAGCTTTAGGAAGCTCGAGAGGAGAGGAAAGTTCTGGGTTGAGTAAACAGCAACAAACATCAGGAATATTAGACCCCACAAACAAAGAGATCAGGAAAAAATAATGTTCACTTGCCCAAGGGAAAACCAGAGAACAGTGGTTTACAGGGATTGGTCCATTGAGACGCCACAGAGGAGGACGGCCCGTCTCTAACTGCCGGCAGTCTCCCCGTAAAGGAAGCTGAGAGAAATAAAGTGATTATAGGTTTTATCTGGTGTGTAATAAAGTTACCTTGAGATTGGGTGGGGTCATCGCACAGACTTGTTAAGTAACAAAAGCCTTTCAAAGTCAGTCCTTAGGACCATAGAACCCAAAGGTGGAGAAATGATGGAAAAATCCCCCCCCACACCCCCACCCAGCCAGGAGTGGACAGGCTGAGAAACTTGTCTAAAAAGTGGCATTACTTGCCAATCCCTCTGCTTTGAAAGGCACCTCACTCAAGCTGCTGGGCCAAGGGCAGGCGTATATTCAAGAACCCCATGCACTAGTTATTACTAATTGCAAAATCCTCATGTGTTACAGCATGCTAGGAATTAGCCAACAGCTGCCTTTTGCTTCGGTAATGAGGCCCCATTACACTCTGCTGGACTGAGTTCTCTTCCTTCTTCCTAGCACCGGTTTCCTGTCTGATTTTCTTCCAAAACAGGGAATTGCCTCCGCTCACATCCTGGGCTCAAAGCCCTAGTGACACAGATTATTCAATCGGGGCACTGATGTCCGGTCTGACTTCCCATCCAGGCCCCAGGGTCTGAGCAAAGCCAGGCGGCAAGATTGTCATATTTCAATGACGACTGCCACAGCAGCAGCAGCCAAAGGACAGACAAGAAATCAAAAGATCCCTTCCTGATTCGGGGAGGAGAGGGACGTTCGGGGATTTGTTGGATCGGAGAGGGAGGGAGTGGGCATAACTGACTCCAACCCCCTTGCCTAATGATGGTTGGATTCAATACAAACTACTAGCGGGGCTGGAAAGCAAACAACATCAAACACTTTTGCGATAAGATTTTAAACTCATCCCCTTGGTGCTCATCATGAAGGGTGCGCTGACTGCACCCTCCACCCACAGACCGGGCTCTCTACAGTGGGGACTTAGGGGGGCACCAGGGGAGGTAAAGGGAAGATACAGAAATGCCATTGTGGGGACTCACCAGGTATGGGGAATCACTTTGGAACAAGGTGATTGAGATCCCAAAGAGAACCGTGTTTCCATTTTATACTCCAGCAGGTCCTCCGGGCTGGGGCTTCTAGAAGCCAAGGCCACCGCCTTACCAGAGCAACTCTTGCTGCCGTCAACTTGGCTAGATCCTGACCAGCGGGCTTCAGGTTGTAGTGGCCTTTTAAGCCAGCTCCCTCACAAGTCTGGGGGTGGGGGTGGGGGTGGGGGGCTGCTGCAGGCACCTCACCGGCACCACCACCCCACCAGCACCTTTCTGGTATTTATAGGCACACAGATCACACGCAGAATCCCTCCAGTGCAAACCAGTCCGGCTGCTTTAGAAACAAGTTGTTTTTCTGCTTCCAGAACCACCCAGGAGCCTTTTCCCCACTTCTCTCTGTAGGCGTCCTTGTCCCAGGTACCTCCGGACCTTCAAGGCACCCCCTCTGACAGCAGTGCAGGCTCCTGCTGTGACCCTATGGATGGGTGCGGGGCACACAGGGGCCACCCCGAGCCAATCCAGGCTGACCACCTCCTTCCAGACCTTCGCACCTGACTCCCGGAACAGCCAGCCTCACCCTCACTCCGGATTACTTGAAGGAGCCCAACGTCTTTGAGAAATTAACTAAGGCTGGCGGAGTAGAGAGGGGGAGGCGTTCCCGTAGGAACAGGGGAGGGTACAAAGGTGTTTTTTTTTTTGTTTTGTTTTGTTTTGTTTTTTGTCTACCAAGGAGAAAGAGGGAAAGGGGACGTAGGATTCCTGGGAGAGGAGGTAACGAGGAGGTGACCGGCTTGGTGCTCACGGAGCTAGTCCGGGTAAGATGTAATGTGAAGGAAAAGGTTTGCCGGCTTTCAACCCACTCCTCGCTCCAGTTTTAAAAAGAGAAAAGTGATGGGGATGGGCAGGACAGGACGAAAACCCAAAACTTACAGTGGTGGCCCATAGAAAATTTCTCGCCATGCCAAGACAGGGAAAAGAAAGCAAAAGAGGCAGTGGCGGCGAGCTGAGGGCACGGGGTCCGCCC